CTTGTGCGCACTGTCGAGTGCGTTCTCGGACACACTCGGTCTCTCGCACACTGTCGAGTGCGCTCTTGGACACACTCGGTCTCTTTCAGAGAGTGTCACTCAGTCTCTCTCGCACACTGTCGAGCACGCTCTCGGACACACTCGGCCTCTTGTGCGCACTGTCGAGTGCGTTCTCGGACACACTCGGTCTCTCGCGCACACTGTCGAGCACGCTCTCGGACACACTCGGCCTCTTGTGCGCACTGTCGAGTGCGTTCTCGGACACACTCGGTCTCTCGCGCACACTGTCGAGCGCGTTCTCGGACACACTCAGTCTCTTGTGCGCACTGTCGAGTGCGTTCTCGGACACACTCGGTCTCTCGCGCACACTGTCGAGCGCGTTCTCGGACACACTCGGTCTCTCGCGCACACTGTCGAGCACGCTCTCGGACACACTCGGCCTCTTGTGCGCACTGTCGAGTGCGTTCTCGGACACACTCGGTCTCTCGCGCACACTGTCGAGCGCGTTCTCGGACACACTCAGTCTCTTGTGCACACTGTCGAGTGCGTTCTCGGACACACTAGGTCTCTCGCGCACACTGTCGAGCGCGTTCTCGGACACACTCGGCCTCTTGTGCGCACTGTCGAGTGCGTTCTTGGACACACTCAGTCTCTCGCGCACACTGTCGAGCGCGTTCTCGGACACACTCGGCCTCTTGTGCGCACTGTCGAGTGCGTTCTCGGACACACTCGGTCTCTCGCGCACACTGTCGAGCGCGTTCTCGGACACACTCAGTCTCTTGTGCACACTGTCGAGTGCGTTCTCGGACACACTAGGTCTCTCGCGCACACTGTCGAGCGCGTTCTCGGACACACTCGGCCTCTTGTGCGCACTGTCGAGTGCGCTCTTGGACACACTCAGTCTCTCGCGCACACTGTCGAGCGCGTTCTCGGACACACTCGGCCTCTTGTGCGCACTGTCGAGTGCGCTCTTGGACACACTCAGTCTCTCGCGCACACTGTCGAGTGCGCTCTTGGACACACTCAGCCTCTCGCGCACACTGTCGAGCGCTATCTCGGACACACTCGGTCTCTCGCGCGCACTGTCGAGCGCGTTCTCGGACACACTCGGTCTCTCGCGCGCACTGTCGAGCGCGCTTTCGGACACACTCGGCCTCTCGCGCACACTGTCGAGTGCGCTCTTGGACACACTCGGTCTCTCGCACACTATCGAGTGCGTTCTCGGACACACTCGGCCTCTCGCGCACTGTCGAGCGCGTTCTCGGACACACTCGGTCTCTTGTGCACACTGTCGAGCGCGTTCTCGGACACACTCGGTCTCTCGCGCGCACTGTCGAGCGCGTTCTCGGACACACTCGGTCTCTCGCGCGCACTGTCGAGCGCGCTTTCGGACACACTCGGCCTCTCGCGCACACTGTCGAGTGCGCTCTTGGACACACTCGGTCTCTCGCACACTATCGAGTGCGTTCTCGGACACACTCGGTCTCTCGCGCACTGTCGAGCGCGTTCTCGGACACACTCGGTCTCTCGCGCACACTGTCGAGCGCGTTCTCGGACACACTCGGCCTCTTGTGCGGACTGTCGAGTGCGCTCTTGGACACACTCGGCCTCTCGCGCACACTGTCGAGCGCGTTCTCGGACACACTCGGCCTCTCGCGCACACAGTCGAGCGCTATCTCGGACATACTCGGCCTCTTGTGCGCACTGTCAAGTGCGCTCTTGGACACACTCGGTCTCTCGCACACACTGTCGAACGCGTTCTCGGACACACTCGGCCTCTCGCGCACACAGTCGAGCGCGTTCTCGGACACACTCGGCCTCTTGTGCGCACTGTCGAGTGCGCTCTTGGACACACTCAGTCTCTCGCGCACACTGTCGAGCGCGCTTTCGGACACACTCGGTCTCTCGCACACTGTCGAGTGCGCTCTTGGACACACTCGGTCTCTCGCACACTGTCGAGCGCGCTTTCGGACACACTCGGTCTCTCGCATACTGTCGAGTGCGCTCTTGGACACACTCGGTCTCTCGCGCACACTGTCGAGCGCGCTTTCGGACACACTCGGCCTCTCGCGCACACTGTCGAGTGCGCTCTCGGACACACTCGGCCTCTCACACACTGTCGAGCGCTTTCTCGGACACACTCACCCTCTCGGCCTCACTTGCTCTCTTGTGCGCACTGTCGAGCGCGTTCTCGGACACACTTGGTCTCTTGTGCGCACTGTCGAGCACACTCTCGGACACACTCGGTCTCTCGCACACTGTCGAGCGCGTTCTCGGACACACTGGGTCTCTCGCGCACACTGTCGAGCGCGCTTGCGGACACACTCGGCCTCTCACGCACTGTCGAGCCCGTTCTCGGACACACTCGGCCTCTTGTGCGCACTGTCGAGTGCGTTCTCGGACACACTCGGTCTCTTGCGCGCAGTGTCGCTCACTCGCTGAGTTTGCTTTGCTCTTGTCCAGTCCGGCGCCTTATAGACAGATTCAGTGTTTATGGAGGGGAGGGGCTGTGTGTGTGAGTGTGAAGCCCCTTTCACACAGCGCGTTGATCCCGGGAAATTGTCAGAACGCCTTCTGTGTGAATGCAAACACGACCCGGGATTGATACGGGCATCGATGCCGGGTTGGGGACCTAGTAACATTGCCGGAATCAGTCCCGGAACGCACGCTGTGTGAACAAAAGCCAGGACCAATGCCGTAAGGGGTGTGTCACAGTGATGATGCTCGTGCCATCGCGCGACTCTGTTGCTCTTAGAAGAGAGTTTGTGTTCGTTATCAACAAAGAAAGGACGAATAAATGTCTGCAAACTGGAACGAAGCAGAGACAGGAGGACACTGAGGACACCACAGTGTTGATTCTGTGGTGCACCGCCACGAATCTAGTCTATGTGTGGTAAAACAAACAAGTGAAAGTGAAAGTGTCTCCGTCCTCTTTCTTTATGAGGACAGCTGTGAATAGTTGAATGTTCAGCTCCAGTCGAGTGGACTCCGTATGTGTAAGCGGAGCACAGTGTGGAGCTTGTGACCGCTGCACCGACCTGTTCACCAGAGGTCAGCAGTTCACCTCCTGCATTACTCTCATTCCTCATGCAGACAGGTATGTGACTCGCCCAGAACCATCCCTCTGAACACCACCAGACCAGCAGCAACAATCTCCTGAATGCAGGCTATTTTCAGCACCGCCCCTCAGCGTCTGGCTATGAGCGAGTCTGGCCAGCATTTAAAAGACATCTAACACTCGTATTCCTAGAAGAACCCAGTGGTGTGTCTGGGATTTTGACACTTCATTGTCACTTCTGAGGCTCTGACAGCCACACCACTGCCATCTGCAATCTGTCTCGGCTCCGGCCATTTGAGCTGTCACTTTAAATGCTTGAGCTTATTACAGCAGGATGGAATCTGATTGGCTCTGGTTGGATCTGATCGTTCATTAGCTGGATAAAACTGTATTGTTTCTCTGTGATTTTATCATTATAGCTGCTGTGAACTCTGCTTTTCTTTAATATTGAGAACAATTTCTAGAACAATTTCTTAATCGTTATCTTCCGTGGTTTGAAGATGCCTTTACACATTTTGAAAAATACTGATAAAATATTGTGTTTGTCACATTTCTTTAGAAGGAAGGAGTATTTAGGGCCCAAGCCCTGAAAGGGCGAAGGCCCTATTGTTTTCCTTGGGATTATTAGGGCCCAAGCCCTGAAAGGGCGAAGGCCCTATTGTTTTCCTTAGGATTATTCTTTTCTATTATTATTATTATTATTATTATTATTATTATTTTTCTTACGACTATTCGGGCACTTTTGGGGCCCTTAACATGCTCGAAAACTCTTGAAACTTTGCACACGGGTCAGAACCCGCGGCCATCAGAGCCGGGCTGAAGATGGTACCTGGGCGTGGCAGGGGGGCTCGTCAGCGCCCCCTGGAATGGGGTCCGAACACTTGGTCCATAACTCAAACACGCTTGCATGTAATAATATGAAACTCGGTACGCATGTTGATCTCATCGTTTCATCTATACCTCGCGCTCTTACTTTTTACCACAGCCCAACAGGAAGTCGGCTATTGAGGTTTGTTTGTAAAACGCTCGCAATGGTATTTGAAATACTCCTCCTAGAGCTTTGATCCAAATTCGACGATACTCGGTCAGCGTGAAGTCAAGACATTGAGGATGAAAGCTTGTGTGGGGATTTTTGATATCTCGAACGGTTTGGCTGTGGCGAGGAAACGAAATCATGGCGAGAAACGTGAAACAGGAAGTTTGTTATAACTTCAGCATACATTAACTGATCTTGATGAAACTTCAGCAGTATGTTCGCTGTAAGAGGACGATCACATGGATGTGACTATTGTGAGTCAAAGTTATAGCGCCACCAACTGGCAGCAGGAAGTGTGTCACTTTCAAAATGCTTTGATATCACCCTTTTATTTTTACCCGATTTGCTT